AAAAAACTTGAAACTTGGCTCCATTTTTGGATATTTTTGGTTGGATTTTGGGGGAAGCAGGGCTGAGAAAAGGCACTCTGTGCTTTTGCTTCAAGGCACATAAGCACAAATTAATGCCCTGGTCTCCACAGCACTCCTCAAGGTGAACAATATCTCTTTTAATCAGGTAAACTTTGATGATTTGAGGTTTGTGCTTAGCTGAACCCAAGATTTGTAATCAAACAAGGAGCTCTGACTGAGCAAGGAAACTCCTATTTATGAGAAATACCAAATATGACAATTTTCATGTGTTGTTCTGGGAAGTGGGAAGGATGGTTTTGACAGGAAATCAAACCCTGCTTGGGTTTGTCTTCCCAATGGACTTAACCAGCCCTCTCCTCTCCAGCAAAAGGGATTAAGCTGTTCAGGGGTTGCCCTGTATTTAAATAGCTTTAATGCTCCAGACCATCTTAAATGGGATCTACTGCGACTAAAGGAATAACATCTGATTGGTAGCTTTCATTCCATACATGTATCTGCAGCCAAAAATAGTCGGGAAAGAGGGAAGACAAAGTTCTTGCTGTATTGACAAAATGGAGCAAATAATTCACTCCTAATAAATAACACAATCTCCTCTTGAGGACTAAAAATACCCTGCTTTTATTGAAAGTGTATTAGTGGCCATGGTAAGTCATCAGGTAAGTAAAATTATGTTGCTTCTATTTTTTTCCTGGTTATAACAATAAGCTGTTTCAGACCAAATTAAAAGTCCATTTCCTGCAAATACTGGTTTATGAGATTTTAGAACTGGCTTTTGGTAAATGGTCATGGAAGTGGAATTTGAACTGCGTGACTATTTGTGGAAAGTGATTAAAGGCAGCTTGGGAAAAAATGAAATTATATCTCCTGATCCTTCTTCATTTCCAGCATTAACATAACTCACAGCTCTGCAACCTCAGGAAGCTTGAAATCTTGATCTGGAACCTCACCTAAAGCTTGAAAGAAATTTAAGGGATTGCAAAGCAAAGTCAGCCTTGGTCAGTCCCTTGGTCACTCAGTCACCTCTGTGCTCAGCTCTTCCAACTGCAGCTTTAAATACAGAGTTTCAAGAACAGTTAAAAATATTTTAATATGGATGACAAACCCTACAAAGCTCATAAATCTGGTTTTCTTGTTGTCAGGAGCAGCATGAGAACAAAGGAAGAGAAGAGCAACAGGAAGAGCCTTAAGAAACACGGAAGGTTTATAACTTATAGCACAACTCCACCAGATGGATTTGAGTTGAATTTCAGTTGTTATTTTCCTTATAAACTTTGCATTTACTTTTGATAAAAGTGACTTTGGTAGAAATAAGGCATGTACTCGGTTATTTTTTGTGCTCTACACTTGTAAAAAGCTGACTGCAAAAGTAGGAAATTATGTTTATGGAAATGAGATCTAAGTAAATAAAATAAAAAAAATAGAACTGAAGACCAGAGGAGACATAAAATGGCTGCAAGTTAAATAATCTAATTATAAATATGCCACCATCAACTCCTGAATGACTTCATCTCCCATGTATGTAAATCTAATGGGCCAAACCTCAACAAAACAGGCTCTTGATACTCTTCCAGCTGAAGCACTTGATCCAAAGCTCACAAAGTCACTTTGAATCATTTAAGTTTTGGAAGCTGAACGCCATTTTTTCTGCAGAAAATTACTTTCCGTCTAAAACTGCATTTTTCCTAGTGGAAACTTTGTAATTAGAAGTAGTCTGGAGTATTGTAACATAATTTATTTAGAATAATGTATTATTTCTACATTCTTTAAAAATGACAGGTATGTATCCCACGTACAATGAGATGCCTTTCAGTAAGGCATTACTATAGGATATTAAAAACTATATTCATGTGGCTACTAAGAACATGGTTTTCCAACAGGAAAGAACATGTTTAAAAACTACAAAATAATACTCCAAATAAGGTCCAGAATACAGAATATTTTCAGATTGATACACAGTATGCAAACTACAGTTCCTTCTCAAGATCAAAAAAATCCATAAATCCATATGTGTTTCCACAGGCTCTCCTGCCTGTCAGGGTAAAATCTTGAAAACTGTACTGTAACCAGGATGATGAAGGAAAATTACTGCCAGACAGATTATACAGTCAAGAAAAACGGTGTAAGTTATTTTTTGCCTCCTAGCTTGCATACATATGGGACAAATGCAAATTTGCCAAATGAAATACAGCTTAGAGTGCATAAATTTCAAACAGATAATACTTTGTACTTATTAAAGCTTGGCTTGGATCACAGAGAGCTTTTTCCTGAAATGCCAGCTTTTTTTGTGAAGATTGTTTTTCCCTAAAGCAGCATCAATTATAAACAATGGTGTAGCCACCAAAACTGGGAGGACAAGACTCAAAGCAGACAAACTGAAACAATCTGACTGATAAAAACTTTAATCTTGCCATGCACTCCAGGTGTCCTTTGAGGGGATGGTGTGGGAGTTATTGTTTATTGGCAGATACGTAAATACCTGGCCCAGAAGAGCCAAGATGTGTGCACAGATCTACAACTGCACATATCTACAGGGTGGGCATAAAAAGAGCTTTTCTGAAAAATTAAACATCACAAGGAGCCCTGTGTAGCTTTGGGTCCTGAGCACTAACTAAAGGTTTGTGTGGATAATGGGATAACTGGTATGAAAAGCTATTTGAAGCCTCCTTGCACTCAGTGAGGTTGATTTAGATTTAGCTGCTTAAAGCAGGGCACTAAATCAGCAGGGAGAGTATATTGGTTCTTCCAGAGACGAAATCGTGAATAAATAATAAGTTAGAATGAAAACAGAAGAGCCTGGATTCAAAGATAAACAGAGGTGTGTTTTGCAGAGCTTTGGGAATAAAGGTTGAAATGGGATGGAAGTGGCTTATAAAAAGGAGGGAGAGACTTTTTATAAGGGCAGATAGTGACAGGAGAAGGGGCAACAGTTTTAAACTGAAAGAAGGCAGGTTTAGATTAGATGTCAGGAATAAATTCTTTACTCAGATGGTGATGAGACACACAAACAGGTTGCCCAGAGAAGCTGTGGCTGCCCCACCCCTGGAAGTGTCCAAGGCCAGGTTGGATGGGGTTTGGAGCAACCTGGGCTAGTGGAAGGTGTCCCCGTCCGTGGCAGGAGTTTGGAACTAGATAAGCTTTGAGGTCTCTTACAATCCAAACCATTCTGGGATTCTGTGGTTCTATGAAATCCTTGAATTGCTTACAGGGAGGATGGGCAGTAAAATTTGAGGTCATTCCCCCTTTCCATGCTTTCCTGGGCATCCCCTACCACTTCTGCTGCAGGGAGCGCACTTCACGCAAGCTGCAGTGTGAGAGCACCGACCACGTATTTTTGTTTTCACTGGATAAAATCCTTTGCACTTATTGTGGGGAAAAAAAAAATGTAAATAAAGTATGTCCTGAAAACTCAGCGGGTGGAAGTGCTGTGTGCTACCGCATCTCAGGGTTTGGGGGGGTCTCACTCCTGGTGGTGTGTGGGATGGAGCAGCACTGAGTCTACTGGAGGCACAGAGACTTTAAGGATCAGCTTTAAATACAGTGAGTGAAAAGCTGAGCTTTGTCCAGGGTGGGAGCACCAAGGGCTCAGCTTTGCTCTCCCTCAGCGATGGAACTCTTGGGCCACCATGGAAATGCTGCTGGGCTGGAAATAACAGAGCAGCCCCTGGACACCTGAGGGACTGAGCTCACAGGAGGTATCGTGGGCCCGGGGTTTAAATTTTTTACGTTTTATGAGGAACAGCTGTGGAACCTGGGTGTGTTTAATCTGGAAAAGAGGAGGCTCAGGAGGGACCTCATCGCTCTCCACAAGCAGGTTGTGCTCAGGTGATGGCAGATCTCTTCTGCCATGTGTGTGGTGAGAGGACCGAGGAAACGGCCTTAAGCTAAGGCAGGAAAGATTCAATAAAATATTTTCCCTGTTGGGGTGGTCAGGCTTGGAATGGTTTGCCCAGGGAGGTGTTGGAGTCACCATCCCTGGAGGTGTCCCTGAGGAGCTGGATCTGGCGCTGGGTGATGCACTTTAGGGGTTACAGTGGAGGTGCTGGGTGGATGGTTGGACTGGATGATCTTAAGGGTCTCTTCCAACCCTGACAGTTCCACGAGTCCACACATTTAGCTGACTGCGGGCACGGCACTGAGGGGCTCGCTGTGGTCCCACGGGGCGGCCGCTCCCCTCACCCCCCCACGGGATAGTCTCTCCCGTGTCCCACCCCCGCGGCGCCGAATGGGCTCTCCCGCGGCCCGCGCTGCCATGGCAACGGCGGCGGCCGCGGGGCCGGGGTTGGGACCGGGATCGGGATTGGGATCAGGACGGGGACCAACCCCGCGGGGCTGAGCCCTCAGAGTAGGCCGGGGGGTCCTGGCGGTTCCCCTCAGGGGACCATCAGCCAGCGCGTCCCGCCCCGGCGCTGCCGCCCCCAGCAAGGGCTGAGGGAGCGCCTGGGACAGGTGGAAGTGCCCCTGGATTGTGCTCGGGAGTGCCCTGCCCGCGCACAGCTGGAATTTGTGTTCGCCCCCCTCGCTGCTCTTTATTCCCCCCCTCTCGGCTCTGTAGTCTGAGGTTACAGTTCTGGGTACTTCACTTCTTCCCTGCGCTTCCCACCTTTCATCAGTCTCGGAAAACTGAGCCTCGGTAACGAAACAAAACCCCAACCCCACCGCTTTGCTGTAAGGCTTTTAGGTCTTGATTTTCTGCCTGCCCCTGTGCACTCTCTCTGTTTCCCCAGAGCTGAGTTTCCCACCCGGACCAACTGCTCTGCACACACTAGAGCTGAAGAGAAGCTTTAAAGGCAAGTCCTGACTCTGCTCCGTTTATTCAATAAATTTATTATTTATAGCCCCACCTGCTGCTCCCCCTGCTCTGCTTCCTCTGGGCAGATCGCGCAGCTCACAGAGCACTTACTGTAGCTGTACAATGTGGATAAGGAGGCATTTATCTCCAGAAACATAACTTGGTAATGTGTTTTTTTCTTTTTTAGTAGACTGCTTGGAGACACAGAGACCAATCTCACGTCTTCTGCGTTTGAAGTTTTTTAAAATACAAGTTGAAACCAGAGTTCTTGGTTAAGCAGTGGAGATTCACCACTCGTGGAAATAGGTGTTGGCTTTTCACAGTCGTCAAGATAATATGTCTTTCCAAAGTGGGGTGAAATTTCAAACTCTGGAAAAATAACTTAGGGAAAGTGTCCTTTAGCTGTTCTAATCTGGGTTTCATGGTCTGACTTGGTGCATGTTGTATGGTATTAAACATAGAAATGGATAATTGGTTTAAAAAGCTTTTTTTCTTGTTGGTGTCACAGATATTGGGGCATGGAGGATATGAATTTATCCTGAGAGACTGAGATTCCATTGGCCTACCTGACTGCTGGATTTAGACTGGCAGATTAACGAGGCAATCAAAGTTTGTTTGGTGGGTTTTTTTCTTTCCTTTTTTTATTTTCTTTAATATCATTTTTTTTTTTTTTTATTTTAACTAGTTAGCGAGATGTTAAATGTTTGGAAAAACCACAAGTCTGAGTGTCTCAGTTGTTGTAATTAACAGCAAATGGGTGGGGAGCAATGACAGACAAATTCTTTACTACACTTAGAATTCTTCTTCAAAGGAAAGAGTTAGGTTTGAATTATTGGTAAGTGGATAGGACTCAGTGTAGCATGAAATCCGTGTTCATGGTTACAATAATTGGATGTGAGCTATTACATATACATAGTATCCCTTCGGATTTTATGGTTTTATTGATGTGAGAACGCTGTTGGAATTTAGTCTGCTCTAGTTAAACTCTTGTAGTTTGAAATAAACTGCACCCATCTTCAGCTGTCTTTGAGTTATAAACCCATCTTTAAATTGATTAGGAAGAAACGTGAGCTAAGCTGAGATACGGGGTGTATGGAATTTGGGTTCATTTAGCTATGCAGGCTTTAAAGTTAAATTAAATTTCATTTAGCCAAAACACCAGTGTTTGTTTTGTTCAGTGGCACTCTGTATCCATTAGCACAGAGGAACCTGCTAGAATGATGAAATTTGAGTACAGGGTGTGTAGAAGAGCAGGCAGAAAGGATGTGGCTAATTAATGCTTGATTTATTTATGTTGATGAGTTGCTTTACTGTTGTTTGCCTCACTGGCAAATTGTGTTACCTATTAGCGAGAGAAAAAGGATTCATTAAACAAAAAGCAGACAGGAAAAAAAGGAACTCCTGTCTGTATTTAAATTATGAATCTGTTTCTGAGGAGTTTGGGGTTGCCTTTGCTGGACTTCCCTGTCAGTCCTGAGCACCCATCTCATGGATACTTCAGGATGTCTTACAAGCTAAGGGTGCATATTTCCCCATGGGGTTTGTTTAATTGTTTGACTGTTACAATCTCAGTGTTTAACAGCTGTTCTTAAAAAAATAAGCTTATGCTCTAATAGCTATTAAATAAATTCATGTCTATCCCCTGTTACTTTCAACTTGAGACTTTTTTTTCCACCCAGTATTACAGTGTTCCTGAAAAACAGGGCCTTTTATCTCTGATATTCTCACACAGTACATCTGATATTTAACTCTGCTGTTATCACAACTGCTAACTTACCTCTTTAAAATATTCCTGGAAGCAAATGCTTAAAGTTAATAAAAGAATACGATTTATGTGAGTTAACTACTTTCCCCCCATTGGCTTGCTAAGCTGACCTCTTTTCTTTTTTTTTTTTTTTTACTATTTTTTACCTCTTTTTTCTTTGCCTTTTTTTTTTTATAATTTTACCTCTTTTTTTTTTTTAATATTTTTTTGCTATTAAATATCCTTTGGGCTCCCTCAAACCCAGTGTTCCCTCCTTCTGTCCAGCTGCACTAGTCCTGCTAGCACAGTTAATAAAATCTTGTTTTATCTTAGCAGGTAATAAAAGAACAATTGTTTTGACGTGATGTTAGGATAGAGTGGCTTGGTTTTTTCTGACACAATAAGAAACATATTTGGTGCACACATTCTGTCAACACTGAAATGTCACTGTTTCAGGTTCTGTGGCACCAGTTTGGACTGTTCATCTGTGCTGGATGAACTTGCCTTTTGGAAGAGTACTTTACAATGTGGGAAAAAAATGTATTTGAAATACCATTGTCTTGAAATCTTGAGAGTAGGGACTAACTCTGCTCTGGGAGTTATTGTATTCCTTTGTATCAATTTGTACATGACAGAAGGTATTTATCTTCCCAAGTCCGTTGAGATGCTTTGACTTCATAGCCATTGGTACAATTTTCTCCTTCTTTGTGCTTTCTATGGGTCTCGTTCATTTTTATTGTTTTATTTAATATTAAACTGCTTGCATTGAACTTTAGGGAATTGCCCAAATGAAAGACAAGAAAATCTTTTCCCTGGTATCATAAAAGTAATAAAAAGGTGGTGTTTTTTTTTTTTTTCCAGTTAAATTTAATTTTGAGTTGTTCTAGGATTTTATTGGTACTTCATATAAACAAGTTCTGTGCTTCATTTTTCTCACCTATACGTGAATATTTTTGGATGTTTAATGACTTTTTTACTGGTTTAATTTCAATCAAATTCCCATTTCAACAGGTTTCTGACTGTAGATTATTGAAATTCTCTTTTTCAGAAGAAGTTATACTGGGTATCATGAATATCAATGATTTTGTGGTACTCCCAGGCTCAAAAACTGGAACCTCAGTGAGATTAAAAACAAAGTAAGTGCATTCTGTCTGATTGAGATTGAGATGTGTTGTGTTAACTTTTAATAGCTTTTAATGCAACATTAATAGAAGAACTTATTTGTGCCACAGCAATAAGAATCATGATGTGTTTCTGTTCTAGCATTTTCCCTATGCTTTTATCCTTGACCTTTTCATAGGCTTTAATCTATTTTCTGCTTGAGTTAAAGGTTTTATAACTCTGTATATCTAATGTGTAATACAAAGAATACTGAAGAAGTCACTGGGATGGTTGATTTTAATATAATTAAACAACAAACCTTTCTGAGCACACAGTTGTATGACTTTTGTGTTGGCCACTCTAAAGCTCATTTTGGAGTATCCCTGTCACTGTCATGCCCCTTTTCCAGAACTGTTTCCAGTCTTGATGGGAGATAGAAGAGTGACCTTTTTTTTTTTTTTTTTTTTTTTGCTTTAAAATTCTTCAGGTACCTCACTCACTGTCCTGTAATTTCTGATGAATATTTTGCTGCTTTAACTCCTCCAGAACTGTCAGAGAATTGCAGTTGGAGAAAGAGCAATTAGAGACAGAAAACAGAGAGATGGAGAAGAAATTGCAGCAACTCCAGTCAAACATGAGCAGAGAAAAAGAAGAGAGAAAGTAGGTGGAATTTCTGTATGGAAAAATGGAATCCAGTGAGATGCTCCCTCCACACCTCCCCCTGCCCCAGATGGGTTCTCCTGCAAAGTTTGGAATTCACAAAAGTGTTCAGTCTCTCCAATTTCTCTTCCCAATGATAAACTTGCTTCCCTATGGCTTTGTTACTTTTAAAGTCACATGTGACATTTGATCCCTTTTCCCCCCTTTTTTCCCCTCTCCCTTTGCTGCTCTCTGACTGGATTTGTCCCCTTAATTTTAAAGCAGGAGACAGAGAGCAGTTTCTCCTGCACTGTTTTAGTCTTATTTCTGCAATTTCTCAGGAGGATTCTGTTCTCAACATTGTTTTGATCCCATTTTTCATGTGCCTGTGTAGCTTCAGAGCTGCATCTCCTGTAGGATGGGAAACAAGGCTTGGAAAGGAAGCACAATGGAATGAAGCAAATGCTGGGGTGGAAGTTTAAATCTCTCAGACTCACTCTGAATGTTGGCAAATCCCTGCAACATCTGCTTCTATTTCTTTGTGTTCCTGCCTGATGTGCTGTGTCACTGGAGATGCAAAAGCCTTGGATACCTTGGAGCCTTGGTGCTGCTCAGTTTGCAGCTCTGGCAGTGTTTCCCTGGGCTGGTGAGGCAGATTTCCAGATAATGTGTGGCACTTGGCCCCCCATATTGTTCTCGTGTCCTTGGACCTGCAGATCCTGATGGTGGTGTCATGGTGAGCTCAAATGATAGGAGCAGTGGGAATCACAGAATGGTTTGGGTTGGAAAGGACCTGAAAGATCATCTAGTTCCAAACCCCTGCCATGGTCAGGGACACCTTCCACTAGACCAGGTTGCTCCAAGCCCCATCCAGCCTGGCCTTCATCCCTCTTCCCTCCTCTGTTTTTCTTGCTCCTTGTTTTGTTTGGTTTTGTTTGTTTTGCCCTATGTTTGTTTTTCTGTAAAACAGAGCAGGTTTTACATTTGAATCCTTGCTCACTATTCCACAGCACTGTGTTCTGCAGCGTCCTAAAGGTGAAAATCAGAGTTTAATCTCCCATAGTCTTAAATTCTTCCCCTCCATCTTCCATGTTAATCATAGCAATCAAATCTAAATTGATTTATCACTGAGATTGTAGGTGTTTGGTCCTGACTTATTAAAAGGTGCTGCATTTTAGCAGTGCTGGATGAAAGCCCTGGAGTAAGTTGGGACAATGAAGACTTATCTAAGGTGTACTTCTGTTTTTATTCTTCTAAAACCAACCTGAGATTTCCTTACATTTAAAAGCTTAGACCAATTTCAAAATCAGTTCTTTCTTATACATTTGATATATTTACTGCTGTTAAAGTAGATGAGAAGCAGGGTGCAATGTGGAGGAGGTGTTTGTGTTTTGGGGAATCGATTATCCTCTAGAGGAGTATTTTATTTTTGTGATGCTCTGTTCATATTTAAAACCTGAAGGAAAACCTATATGTTTCTCTTGCTTACAGAAGACATAGTTTTTGAGTTTTTTCTTGCTCTTGGTTCATAGGAAATTAAGTCCTTATCACTGGAAATCTGGACAGGCAGGACCAATGACCATCCAAGCCCGAGTTTTGTCACAAAGTAAAGAAAACTGGAAAAAGGTATTAAAGTACATTTGCAAGTAAAGCTATTTAAAACAAAGCAAGGTTTAGAATTAGATTTATGCTGCAGAACATGGGAATTTTATATACTATAAAAATAATAAGAGGTTAAGCACCTTCTGAGTAAAATCCCTCATTGTTTATTTTCCATGCCAAGCTTATGGTTCCCTTTGAGCTGGAGGAACATCAAGCTCTCTGGGGTGATCTGTTGTGTTTTTAATTGTGATAGGCAGCAAATTATCATTGCTTCTACAGGTTTAATATTGTAAGAATTGAAAAATGTGATTTCTTTTCAATATTCACTCAATGGGGTATTTTCCCTTATTCCCTTTTGGAATAGGCAAGGACAATTTTGCTGACACTCTTAAAAAATATTCAGGGTAAGGCAGACATTTGGGAATGGTGAAAGCTGGTCAAATTTGTAAGTAGCTGAAGACTGAACCTTGTAGGGAGTGTTATCACTTCCAACTGTAATAAGCTGGTCTTAATATTTCATTCTTTGGTGAAATAAGTGTATTTTAATAGCTTAGGCTTTGTACATCATGGAAGCAGGTATTAGGTGTGTCTGTCAGCAAATAATGTTCACAAGTGCTGGTAAAATCCCAGTTGTGATAACAGAGCTTATGTTCTTCGCTTGTTCTGTGAAAAATCTGTAGGGGATCCCAAAATCGAAACTAATTCAGCTTAGAGATGCTTCCTCTTTGCTTTAGCGGGCACAGATGTGTCTGCAGAGGCACAAATTGGTCTGAGTGGGACTTGAAAAGAAAGTTTTCTCTCCTGCTTTTTTTCTGGCAGCCGTGCTGTGTGCGCTGGGTTGAAATGAGAGCTGTTAATTAACACAGACCACTTGGAACTGGCTGAAACAAAGCTTGGATAAGTCTGGAGAGAAAACCAGACAATGACAACTTCAGACTGAGCCGTCACAGTTGCTGTTTGAAGCCTTTTGAAGCAGCAGCAGTTTGGCAAGAAGGTCCTCTCAGCCAACACACTCAATTCCAATAAAATGAAAAGGTTTTCTTTAACCCACCTCCTTCTCTTTCCCCTTCTCTGGGACGAGTAACTCAAAGCAGTTGCTGCTTCAAAAGACTTCAGATTTCAGCTCTGATGGCTGAGATGGGGCAGAATGTTCTAAAGGGTAAAATTAAAGCAAGGGGCAAGTGAGGGCCAGTGAGGATTCAGTGTGGGCTCTGCAGGGAAAAAGTGAGGAGCAGTGATGAAAATCATTAATTACTGGGATGCCAAATCATGGAAGGGTCATGAGGAGAAGCAGAGTGAAAACAGGCTGAGACCTCCCCCCTCAAACAGGGGTAGGTGTGAGTGCAGGTTGTATATGCAGAGGACATCACTGGTTGAGTGATGTCTGGGTTTAGATCACTGTGGTTATGGAAGTTCTGCAGTTATGGAATGTTCTGGAGAACATTCCTGGCTGGGTGAACAAGGACAACATCATTTCATGGCTGGGGAGGGAAAGTAGTCCCAGCCTTCAGGGCTGTCATGAGCAATATGTGGAGTTTTCTCTTCATATACATGCCTGGCTGCTTTCCTGGAACCAAGCAACATTTTCATTCTATTCTATCAAAAGTTACTCTTTTATTTATTTTCATTAACATCTTAAATATATGTGCATATATTCTTCCATATAGGTTTCTTCAGGAAAAGTGAAGTTGCAAATACTCAAAGACCAGATTCAAGGTAAAGACATCTTTCTTAACAAAATAAAATTTCACGATTTTCTGGTAGATTATCTATTCTTGGAGGTTGCTGCAATTAAGGCATAAAGAAATCAGAGACTGGAATACTGGATTAGTTTGGTTTTTTAATTGTTTGTGTTTTTCCAGAGCCAGTGAAAGAACAATTTAAGCCTGAAATGGAAAATGCTGTAGCACATAAGAACTCTGAAGTGGAGAGGGTTGCATGTGGACTGTCTGAAATTAAGAGTGTGCTGCTGGTAAGTGAATGGTTTAAAAATTACTCTCCAGCAACACAATAATATGCATATAAGTTTTTTGTGGCAGTATGGAGACAGACATTTATTAGACGTTGTTATATGTTGTAAAATGAATTGCCTTGGGTTTGTCCAGGCTGAGTTGCCAGAGTGACCATGCAGCAACTTCAAAAGAGGAGAAAACTACTTAAACATTTGAGATTAATTTGATCCTACATTAGTTAAATATCTTCTTTTTCTGGAATCGAAACCATATTAAGAGTTTTTCCTCATCTGTTTCCTAAAATACATTGGTGATACCCACATAGGCTTTGTCTCTGTGATAACTGTTTATTGCCCATAAGGGAGGTTTTATGCACTGATCTCCCTGAATGCAGGGAAACAAATGATTTGATTTTGTTACCACAACTGTGACCAGTTCTTTAACTGGCAGCAGCTAAAGAATTCCTTTAAGCTGTATTTTTATGAATTTGCACAGCATGTGAACATGACTGAAGAAGACTCTTACTTACCTAAAGAACACCACTCTGTGAATAAAATAAGACATGTGATTGCAGGCAAATAGGGCAGAATTGAGTGGCCCATGAATATTTTGTAGCTTTAAATACTTTGATAAGGACCAGGGCACGTGCTGAATTGTGGCTGCTTTCCAAGCTGGCACTTGCTATGTTAGAGTGGAAATTATTGTTATCAACTATGAGGTGATTTATATTTAATAAATTTTGCCTTTCAGAAAGTATGAATAAGAAACCTGGCCTCCAAAGTGTGGTGTAGCTTCATACTATTTGATTTTTGAAGTAACTTTTGTTAATAGAGTAATTCCACTCTTCAATAGGAAAATAAAAAGTATCACCTCCCTTAGAAAGATCCCCTTCCCCGACCTGTGGGGTCATGCTGTGATTTATTTCCATTGCTTTTATGGCAAATTAAACCAGTTGGAGCTGCTAACACTCAAACCAGATGGAACAGATACTCTGTGTGTGTCTTTTAATGGCTTTCCTTGCAAAAAAAAGGTTCCTGTGGATTTGAAATCCCTGCCATCAGAGCCGGTGGGATTTTGCTGCTTTAATTCTTTTTTTTTTCCATGCCCTCCCCGCAATTTCATTACTACCCACCCAATAATGAGTAAATACCCCAAGTATCTACTGAGTAATCCCCAAGTGCGTGGTTTGGTTTTTCCCAGGGGTTTTCCAAGGAGCGATCCCGGGAGCGGGGCTGCAGTTCCAGGGATGTGCGCCAGGCGGAGCTGCGGCCCCGCGGGACGCCCCGAACGCGGCTGCGGCGCCGGGATCCCGGAGCGCTCCCGCCTCCCGGGGGTGAGGGGATAAATCGGGCTGGAAATCCTGAATTTCGTGACGAATGGAGCGACGATTTGCTCGCCCCGCGCTAGGTGAAGGCCTGCCTTCTTTCGGGTGCTTCTTGCCGATCCCAGGAACCCCAGGAACAGGGATTCATTCCCACAGTAAACTCTGAGCCGTGCCCACCCAGCCTTGCAGCGCGAGGATCGGAGGGAAGTGCGAAAGGAAACAGGGAACAGCTTTGTAGAGTGGTTCGTGTGTCTGCAGGCTCAGGGCGAGTCCCAGGGACCGTTTAATGTGCAACCAGCAGCTGCAGGGTCGCTGGGTCGATCATGGCATAGAGATGTGGGGTGAGCAGGTTCTGCTTCTGTAGAGGCTGCTCTGACTCTTTCTCACTGCCCTTTCTGCCTGTCCCTTTGCTGCTTTTGTGGTAAGAACGTGTGCTCTGCTTTGGGATTGTACAGACAAAAAGTCTTTTCTTCTGCTCTCTGTGTGGATGAACATAAAATATTTCTTGATTTTGCTTGATAATCGTTCAAGAGTTGGTCGTCAAAACTTTCCACAGTAGTTTTATTTGTTCTAATGAAGGTTGCAAATCAGCAAAATCCCTGTATAATACTTGTTATTCTCCTTTTGTAGCTATTTTCAGTCAATCTCATCTAGTTTTTTAAAATTTGGACTTCCCTGGACTGCTTTTTTAATGTATGAGCTGGTGTTCCAGTTACTCCTTAGGAACATTTTCCTTTTATTGACTTCTACAGATGTGCTTCTGTTTGCTGTGAAGCTTCAATGAGTAGAACTTCATTAATAAAGTACATAGCTCATAAATTAGTTTAAATGAGATGTGGTGCATAAAATGCTTCATTTAATCTGTCCTGTCCATGGAATGTGAGCTCTCCGTGGCAGTATATCCTGTGCATAGAATGTGGGCTGTCCATGGCCACTGCTCTCTGCTATTAGAAACATTTAAAAGTGGGGGTTTTTTTGTGTATCTGCTTATACAAATTTCTTGGTTTTTCTTCTTTAGCTCTTGACAGAATGTTCCAATTTAGTTGTGAGCAAGAGCACATAAAACCTGAGTGATCTTGAATTCCAGGGTAGTTTGGCTGAGCCCAGGAAACTGAGTGTTGCATTTCCACAGGGGACACTAAAAACATTGCTGGGGAGAGAATTGTCATCACCAGTGCTTTGTTAATTATGTCGTGGAACTGATTTAGGAACCACCCTCAGAATCAACCTGTACAGGCCCTGAAAATGAGGATGAAGGATTATTGTTAAATGGCTCATATAACGAGGAAGAATCTGCAAAGTCTTTCCAGGAAGCTTTGCTTCAATGGAGGAAGGGGAATAGTGATCACAGGGAACAAGTGCCAGCCAGTGAGGTGCCATCAGGTAGGATTTGTTCTGTTTTAATTGCATTTTAAATACATTAAGAGCCAGTTGGGTGAGTCGGCAGACTTTTGATTGGTGAAGGGAGATCTTCTATTAGAATAAAAAATGGTTTTTTTTCTCAGTTTTTCTCTCTATGTTCCTTTATCAATAACAACGACCTCTGAAGGTTTTTTTTTTTATCTTAGTAACATGCAGGTTGATGTTTATCCCAGTTTTTGTACTCAGCTGTGGCATTGGCCAGATTTTTCAGCTCATGTCCCTTTCTGTGGCATTGTTTCTCACATGACACTTTAATATGAACTGCAGTGCTCAAGCATAAAGTCCCAGCTTTGAACTGAGGCAGGGAATGTGCAAAGCTCAGGATTTTGTGTGTTCTATCAAAATGCATTTCTTGCTTGCCTTCCACAGGCTCTTAATATTTCTTTGTCCCAATGAACAGCTGCAATCAGCTGAAGTATGCATTGAAAAATGGGGATAAAAATCCTCTTGTCTGATTGGATTTGTGCAAGCTGGTCTTGTTCCTCTAGTCTGTGGATGGTGTTTGTTCTCTCTGTATTTTTTGTACAAATAATATTATACTGACTTTTTTTTTTTTCTTTTCTTTCCTGTGATATGGTGGGATTTTTATCTGCTGGCCATTTAAATTTTGGAATTATGCAAAGACTCAGTGAGGGATAGACTACCAATATGTTGTTCATTCAAAAATAATGTAGATAAATAACAAGTTTATAAGCCTGAACATCTGTATATTTTTTTTTCATAATTCTAATAGAATCTGTGGGAATTTGTGAGGTCCAGACCAGTGTTACTGTTCTGGAGGAACCTGTCCAAGTGGAATTTAAGAAGGATGGCCTGAGCTACATGGAGAAACTCTTACTTAAGAAATACAGAAGGTATTGAAAGGAAAAGCTCAGAAATACTTCATAGCATTAACAAAAATCCCCTTGAAACTTCTAACATATTAGATACATTATCAAGAGTTAAGGGGAGTGTATACAGAGTGCTTTATTTGAATAAAATAACCATCATAGCCTGACTTGATGGTTTAATAGTTCAGAATTACTGCAGGGGGAGTATTTGGAGGGATTCTCTTTGCTCTCAGTTTACTGTAGAGTTTGAAGACTGATAATGATATTTGGTTGCTTGATTTTTCTGGGGCATTTGCTACAGGAGTTTTATAGAGAGAGGGAAGCACAAGCATCAGGATGCCTTTAGAAATGTTGCAGGGTTGTTTTGTTACTCACTGAGGTGCAAGGTCATCTCAGTGAAATTAGGAAGAATTAATACAGCTGGAGTAAATAGTGGGTGGGGTTTTTCCTTTTTCTTTTTTTTTGTTTTAAGGACTGTGATATTTTATATATATATATATAATGTAATTATGACTTTTTAAGATTGATTTCTTCTCCTTTTTCAGAACTCCTGTTGATGAGATTCCTGACAATTGCATGAGAGATTTAAAGCCTGTGCAAACACTGAGTGTCCATCAAGCTGTGAGTGGAGGAGGAGGAGAAGGAGATGATGATGATGTGGATGACTTTTCAGGTGTAATAAATTTCTGTTTATTGAACCTAAATAATATCTTTTTTTTTTTTTCAATTTATTTTGCAAAATAAATTTATTTTGCAAAATTTTTTGCAATTTATTGCTGAACAGCTATACACTTGGGAGGATTCTGCTTAAAGTAACAATAATGAAAGGAGGAATTTGTGGTACTTTAAGATAAATAAAAGTTTGCATTTTTATAAGTGTAAGTCAAACAGGAAAAAAATAAATGCATGAAATTAATTATATTTACTAGTTGAAGAGATGAAGAGATTTTGGGCATCTCTTTTTAAAGTGGAAGAATCCAACACCACTTCTGGAAATGCAGAGCCAGAGTCCTCTTTGAAAATTGAGTTCCTCGATGATGTAAGTGTGTAATAAAGGAATTCCTGAATCTTCAGTCATCTGAAGTGATTTTTCAAATCTTGATAAGTTAAATATTTAAAGGATTTTAATAAATAATTTGCAGTATGAAAAAAATATGGGTTTATCTTTTCCATACCAATGTGGAAAATTTATTTTTCCAAAAGTTCCCTGTATTTTTTCCTGTTCTATCCAGGGACCTGCACTATATAGAAGTTATACAAAGATGAAGTCTTCAAGCTTTTAATCACTTGAGTTACTTGACTTTTTCTTTAAATTTTAATCCATTGCTGAATATGGATGTTTTTGTTTTTTATTTAGCCTCACAGCACAGACTTGGAAGAATCATCCAACTATTTGGTGGTGGAAACTGGGGCTGAGGGAATGAACCAGCAAGGAAAAACTGAAGCACTGGAGCAGTGTGGAAGGTATCAGGAATGCAGAGATTCTGTGGAAGAGAAAAGGAAATAATCCCATCTTCTGGTTTAGTTACATCCCTAAGAAAAGGGGGCTTTTCTTTGCAGTCAGTCACACTTTTATGAGTCATTGATACATTGTTTTAAAGCCACTACAGAATATTAATTGCCTGTAATCGGAGAGACATCACTTTGAAATGTCTTCATTTGGTTTCTTTGATCACTCCAATGTCAACCCATGTAAGATACAGTTCTTTCCATGTGCTTGCCATGAATTCCAGGTAGAATTTCTCTTTTCTGAGCTCCAGCCTCAGCAGAAACAGGAACTCACATACAAAATCTGTCATTACTCAGTGTTGTGCTCTTTTAAGATGTTCTCACTTGACTAACTTTGTAATTCCAGACAAAAATAAGTCCTCATAGTTAACGACACATGCGCAGTTCTTCTGATCTCCCCACACTGATTAGCTGTGACCTGTTTTGCTATATTTTATTCTTTTAGTCTTTTCTCCTTCCCTTTCAAAGCTGTTCAGCAGTTGCAGACCAGACCTTTGGCCAAGAGAAAGTGTATGAGAAAATCTTCTTGTCATTTAACTTCCACAGCTGACACTCAATGTTTTTTACCCTTTTTCCTCTTGACAGAAATCCTGTTTCTTCTCAAGAAATTTCTCAAGGTAAATTTGGAAAGTTATTATTTGTACAATAAACCTAAATGTGTACAGTTTATCATTCTCATGTAGGATGTGGGAGGCAACTATGATGGTTGTCTGAAAAATAATTAAAGTTAAATTATGTGCCCTTCTCTGAGCTATCAGGTCCCTTGATTACAATTTGATGGGCTCTGAGAGCAATTTTGAAATGATGGGTATCACTGTGACAGAAATCTTGCTTCTCTGAGCTTGTATTTGAGGGAGAAGCTAACCTAATAGGAGCTGGATACTGAAAATAAACCCATTATAAAGCAGGTCATCTTCAAGTCAGTTTATCTGTATTAAATCTAATTTATAGCATGTGTGCTTTTGATGTATAAAAAACTTTTAGGTAGCTAGATTAAGAAACTGTGTAAACGATTACCTGTTCTGCATGAAAGATCATCATTGGTGTTTAAGTAATCCAACTGCATGCCAGGGAAATCACTGTGAAAATCTGACAGCTTTATTTTGTGGCACTCTTGAGGAGTCCCACAGATCTTACTCTGTGTCCTAAAACTATGTAAAAAATCAGTCACTTTTTTAATATTAAGAAATAACTTAGAATGTAAAGGTTATTCATTTCTTGCTCTTGCAAGTCCCAAACATTTGCTCCAGCACTTCAAGACCTGGCACTTGTTCTCTTTGTGTTGAGTTCAAGAAACTGCTTGTTTAACTCTTCAAATGGGAAAAAAAAACCAAAAACAAACAAGAGCTGACTAATGAGATGTGATTTCTGTGCTTTTGTGGGCACAGGGTAAAAAATAATGTGTTGTATAAACAGAGAAATACAGCTTGCAGAATCATTCACAGCCTGATAGGATGGATTCCAAACCATTATACTGCTTTTAAAGATGTTTTATGAAATTGCTGCTATTGCAGTTCTTTAATGGAGGTTTTACATTTGAAGTTCATGAAGAAAACACAGTGGACTTGCAGGTTATAATTCATATTTCCGTTAAAAAAATATACCTATTTTTATGATTGTAGAAAAAATGGTTGTCTGCAGTCCTCTGGAAGGAAATTCAGTGCAAAAGGAGAGTATTAAACCAGAGACTGGGAGGTCACTGGGCTTCTGGGAAGCACTGGAGGAGATCTCCAACCCTACTGAACCAAAGAGCAACAAACACCTTGAGACAGAACTGCAGGAAACCAGGGAAGAGTCACAGGAACTGGGCAGTGTCTGTAACAGTCACAGCTTGGGCTTGCCTGTAATTAAGAAATCTTCACCAGTAAGTTATGATGTCTAATTGTTAAATAGATAAATGATGTTGCTTAATCTGCTTTAGTAGGGGGCACCAGACCATGTTCCTGAATCAGCTGAGAGGTGGGGATGGTTGTGTGGTTACCTTGCAATACTTGACCACTTCACCTTGTTCTCCTCTAGAAACTCCACCCCATAAGAGTAAAGTTTAGTTAAAGGGTTGTTTCTGCCTGCCACATATGTAGGGGATGAAGGTCTCTCTGCTTCCTACTTTATATAGCCAAATTCCTGTTAGTGCTAAAAAAAGCAAAAGAGAGAACAGTGTGGTCTCAGACAGAAAAAAAGATGGTGCTGGGGAGAAGCAGCTCTTACCATGTTAAAACTGAGGTTACTTCACCTCTCTACTTAATGACCAAAAATTGTAGGTGCTCTTATCTGACTTAAGTTCCTCACATGTTCTTTGGCTGAAAGTAAAATTAAAAATGAAAAATCCTAGAAAAGGTTGGGACAAAGATTTGAAGTCATTGTTAAACAGTGATTGCTCTCACTGAGGTACACAAAAGTGAAACTAAAGAAAAACTGCTTTTCATGTCCACAGTGAAAGAACAGACTCAAACTCTCACAACATGAGAAGTTTTTTAGGATTTTAAGGCGTATCTTGTACAAAAACATCATCCATATGAATTACAGCAGGCTGCCAAAATCATTCCCAGTCCTATAAAATGAGCATTTTATTAATCTGAACTTGCAAGGGCAATTTGTGAAGTTTTCCTCTTTCCTTTCCTGTCTCTGATGTCTCTGTGTTTTATTCAAGCTGCAGGATGTAGCCAGAAGATACAAATCTGTTGCCACGTGGTATCAGGGACTCGAAGGTTTCTTTGGTGCAGGTGCAAACCCCAGGCAAGGAATTCTGGCAGCACCTCCTTCCCTGTGTGCTGCCTCCAGCCCTAGGGACAGTAGCCTCCCTATTCCAGGTACTGGCATGTGAATCAAATCCTCAAAAATACACATAGTTATCCCTGTTGCTGTAAGACATCCTTCTCTCCATGTAACTTCCATCCAGTTTCCTTCTGGAAGTCATTCAGGGTTAAGTCATGCCAGCACACAGTGGACTTGTGGAAGGATAAAATAAACTTGCTACCTTGAGGTAAATTAGATCAATCCAGTGCCATAGATTGATATAGATTTATATAATTATTTCTATTCCCTGACAATTTGGCTTGAGGAGGTTCCTACTGCTTTTAATGGTGTATGAGAAACAACATGTGAAATGGCTGGTGAACATTATTAATTTGATCAAGTGTATCACTTGAAATTAAGCTTTCAGTGTGTTCTGTATGGGTAGAAAATTCATTGCATGGCTTCTTTACATCACACACATCAAATGCAGCAAATATAGGACCAGTTAAGTGCATATTAACACAAAACCTGCCAATAATTTCCTCTGATAATTTTTTTAATTTCAGGAGGTGGACAGTGGGTTTCTGAAAGGAGCTTAAGTGAATATGCTGAGGACTCTGTAGTTCAAGGTGTCTTGGAAAGGCAGTTGAACAGACCTTCTGATGGGTTCAGGGCTCAAAATAGAATTTCTCCTCACATGGGGGTGTGGAGGTCAGGTAAGGACCTACTTAGGGTCATTTTTCTTATGTAAAATGTAGACACACTGTGATGACTCTGAATTTAGGTCATTTTTATATCTTCATCTTATGTATTTTGGTGCAATGGCTCGTATACATGGTATTGTTTTCATAAAAATGGACTTTTGAGTTAAAATTTACCTATTTTCAGTTATCACTACTAATTATTGTGCTTAGTTTCTACTCCACTGCTCCCCTGTTAACTTGAATATTTAGAGAATAAACTCTTTAGCACCAGTTTGTGTTACTGTGTGTTTACAGTCTCTTGTGCAATATGGATGTGATCTAATAAAGGATTCCTTTGCTACTGAAGTAATTATTACATGAGCTAAAAGAAACAAGGGACCAAGAAATGCACAACTACATCTGCACTTCTTTACCTTTCTCAATTTCAACTGTCTCCATCTCAAGAAATGTGGTTTACATTATGTCTCTCATCATGAGCAACCAGTGTGGCACTTTAATTTAAATAATGCTGTGTGCAGGAATCAAAACTGTCAATTTTGAATCCCAGAAAAATATTTGAAAGTGTCTATCTTTTATTCATGTTATTTTAAATTAAGAGAAGGAACCAAAGTTTTAAGCTTTCTGCACACAATCACAATGTCTCCCTTCCTCCAAATTTGTGGCATTGTGCATAATATTTAAATCATATATATTTCTTCTCTGAAAGATGCTTTTGAAGTATGAGGTGCTACTTTCCAATGTATTTATGACCTTTTTATTAACATCTATAAATTCACAATCTTCAGCAAAATCAGTTTGTAGTGACATTCTTTGTCAGCTGAAGCTGTTTTGAGACATTTAATGGCAAGTTTTTGTTGCTACTCTGGGATTTTTTAAAAATTGATAGTGTAGATCCTGCATTTTTTGTTTATATTTGTTCCTAAAACATTTCAGATCCTGAAAAACATTCCAGCTCAGCTTCTGAAGATGGAACCTCCTCCAGCAGAGACTTGGAGAACATCTATGGAAATACTACAGATTTCCATGAAAACCTGGAGCTAGAAGACCATGATACAGATGATATTTTTGGGTAGGTTAAACTTGCAGTGTTTTAATGATGTTTTAAAATGCTCAATGTGCCAAAAATCATGTCAGAACTGAAATAAAACCAATCTCAACTTTCTAGTTGTTGCTTATTAGAAATGTCAGCATGATCTGTGTTGTACCTGTGTTGTACTTGTCCTAAACCAGTTCTCAGGCAGCTCAGATTAAGAATTAAGGGATTTATTTTGTTGTTGAGAATCCAAATGATAAATTTTGGGATTGTGGGGTTTTTTAATGCATTAGCACTGAAATTTATAAAATAATCTCTTTAAAATCACCCAAATTCTTTAGTTTTAATGCACTTTGAAAACAGCAGTTGTGAGCAGGTCGACCAATAACCTTTAACTCACCATTATCTGTGATAAAGCTGTTATTTTGGACACTGAGGAGATGACTGGAAATAGGGAAGTTCCCCAAAGTTCTGTGTCTCACTGGTTTCTTATATGATCTCAGAACTAGAAGGAGTCAGAGAGACACTGTGAGGTTAATTACACGCTGTGGAAATTTAGCTGATTCAGAGATTTGTGACAAAAACTGAGGGCAAGAGTTGAATACAGCAGCTTGTACCCCGTGTGTGCTGGCAAAACCTCCTGCAAAAGCTATTTTTTTGCTTTTTGGTTCTACATATGTGAACATTTGTCACTAAGGCTCAAAGCAGAGCAAGTTGAGGTGCTGAAAATCAACGTAATGTGTTTCTTTTAAGGGCCTGGGATGAAAGCCAAATGGATGAGGAGGAAATTCTGGAGGATAAGCTACAGGTTCTTGCATTACAGTGAACACAGAAAGGACTCAATTCCCTCTCCATCTTTGTGTGTCACACCAAACCAAGAAGCAGAAGAGGTGTTCTGAGTGCTGCTCAAGATATTATTTACTAAGGATTATCTTGTGAAGTTGTCAGTAAAACTCCTTAAAAATATCTTGCTTTTGGTTTTTTTTATTAGTCCGAAGAAACAACAGAATAAAAGAAAACTGGTGTTGTGCTTCTTTTTTTTTTTTTTCAGGATGTTCTATTCTTTATTTTTTTCATTTCAATAAAAGTCTTCTTGCCCACAGATGGAATTTTGTGTCTCCAAATGCAGTTTTATGTTGCCAAGCTGAGAGGTGCCAAACAGGGATTATTATTAGTGAAGTTTTATGGAAATTATAGTTTTGAAATTACCTTAATGGTGTCTTTTGGCAACGTCTTTAGGATGCTCAGGCACAGCAGCATTCTTAGCTTTAAAGTTCTTTTTCCCTTCATCATGTTCTGTTTGAATATGGCTGACACTTTTTCCTTTTATTAATTTCCTCCAGTCTGGTTTTTAAGGTGATTTTCAAAGCACCTTAAAAACTTCCTCTCCCTCTCTCAGTTTTAATAAAAAAATTGCAGGGACAAGGATTTCTGTCTCGTAGTGTTGGGAAGTGGGGTTCCTTTAAAGCTTTTGTCTGACAATTCTTACCCATTTAGGGGTAAATTGCCTAAAATTCATGGTAACTTGTTCACAGACATTTTCACATAGAAAGAGAAGCTTTAAATCTTGCTTTTCTGTGTTCAGAGGTGGCAGGTGCCCTTCACTGACATATCAGTGGAAACATTCCAGTGCATTATTTGGGTTCTGACAGTTAAACACATATTAGTTTGTATTTTACCCACACCACAGGACTCTGATGGGTTGTCTGTGCCCCCCTGCACTGATATTAGACAGCACAGTCATCTTTTCAACAATTTCTTATACAGGAAAACCTACTTCAGCAGCCCTAATTCACAGAGTGGAGCCATCAGGCTGGACAGACCATTGATTTGATTTCCTGCCTCATTTCTTGTCCTTAAGGTGAGGGCATATTTTCCACCTCAGTTTTCTTTATAGAGTTAACTGTATATTGGTGTTTTATTACAGTTCTTTGCCAGAAATGGGAAGAATGGAATCCCAAGGCAGGGGTTGTACTTTGGAGATTAAGGCCAGTGCTCTTCTGTCATGGCTGTAACCTCCTCTTTCTCTTTGAGTCACTCTTCCAAATATTCCTATTACACTCATTTCCCTCACACAGCAGGCTGATGCTTCCATGCTGTTCCCAACCTTTTTAACTGGAAAACCACTGAGGCAGGTGCTGCTGCAGAGTGTTCCTGGAGCCTCCAGCAGGCAGGGGACTCCTTAGGATTTGTCTGAGATAACTAGAAACTCACTGACTGCTTTCAACATCTGATTTGAAAAGTTTTCCCTTCCCATCCCTTTTTCCTGAAAGAAAAAAAAATGCTTCTGATAATACCTCTACCAAAATTTGGGCTAAAAATAAGCTTCCTTCAATGTATTACTGATTTAAATATATCTTTGGTTTATATTTCTGGGTTTAACATACTTGAAGATTTCTTGTGTTGTTCCCCCCCCCCCCTCCCACCATAAGCTGTAGTGGTAGAATTGATATCCTAAGTGGAAGACCAGAAATTGCAGTTTTGTGATATGTATTGCTTGTTTTCTGTTGCAAATAGAATAAATCTAATGTTGAAAGCTGCTTATTATTATGAATGTGGCTTAATGTACTTCTCCACATGATCTTTAGGGTCCCTTCCAACCCAAACCACTCTATGATTTCTACCTTGTTGCAAATACCATGTTCAAATTGTTATGTTAATTTTTTCTTTTTTTCTTTTTTTCATTTCCCCCTGTGCCTGTTGCAGGGGTGGCTGAGCTATACCCACGTGTCAAGGGATTTGCACAGAAACATTACATTTTCTGTCCATTTAGAGGAAGAGGAAAAAAGGAGGGGGAAAGTGAAAGATTACTTCATTTTTTTTAGCTTCTAGGGTGAGTCTACATTGTCTTTTTGTGTACATTGACTTTTAGTGATCTGATTTTACAAAGTGTAAATCCTGTGACTTATCTTGGCAATCAGTTTGGATTTTGAGAGGGGGTATCCCATTCATTATGTATTGAAGTATTTTGGGATTCATGTGAACACACCTCATCTTGAATAGTCTGGCAGATCTACGGTTTGTCTCTTTTTTTGTTTTGCCTTTTTCAATGTGTCCATTTTCTGCTCTCAGTGTGTTATACGTTGATACAAAAGGGAAGAACCCAAATTCCACATGATTCCAAGAGCTGGAAATCCCAGGCTTCTCTTCCCATCATCTTCCTGAAGGTGTTTGAGTGCATTTGAGGGAGTTCCTGGTGGAGCTGCAGCACATGACCCTGTCCAGGGTGCTGGGCTGGGATTTGTGCCTGTGTCGTTGTTTCAGCTCAAACAGCCACGTTTCCATGACCATCAAAGAGCAAATTTGCACTGTAAAAATCCATGTGCCTTGTGCTCAAAATACAAACAAACATACCAGCTGGGAACTCCACTTGAGCACTTACTTCTAAAGTGCTTCCCTGGGAGTCCTTGGAATATTGTAATGAGCTGCAATTTGTCTGGCTGCCTGATCCTGTCTGACTTGGTTATTTTTTATGTGGAAGGGTCACTTATCCAAGCAGCCAAGGCAGATAAACCACATGAAGTGATATCTGCAGTTGTCTGTGCACACAAGGGGGTGCCGAGGTTGGACAGTGAGAATTGAGGCAGAAAAAAATTCAGATTTTCCTGTTTCATTTCAACCAGTTCTGGCAAGAATTGAATCCCACTGAAAACACTGTTCATGGCTCTGCTTGTACTGGAGTTCTAAAGGTCCCTGGTACACACTCCAAGGCTCTTCCTCCCTCCGTGTTACTGTTTGATTTTACCCTTTAATAGACTTTAAGATTCTGTCATTTGCTGCACCTCATTTATAAAAATTAAGAGTTATTCTTTCCTCCATCATAATACAGCTTACATGCATCTCATTCAATTATCAGAACCACATAAACCCAATTAGTTTTAATATATCCAGGCCATTTGCATCAGAGACAAAGACATCTGTCTTTTTCATTTGAAAAATGAATTCTGCAAATTACAGGCCATCAGCACAAGGGCATTTCGAAATTATTTTGGTCAAGAGAAGTGTTCCATGACTTTCTATTTAATTAGGATTAATTAGGCTGTTTAATAGGCCTGTGCTTTTGGTAAGGGATGGAAACATAATTAACTATGTTAATATTAGAGATCAGTTCACAAGCACAAGAAATGGAAGCCTCAAAAAAAGCCCCAAACTGGTTTTCCATACACTGGGGGACGTAAAGACCCACAAAAATAATAATAAAAAAAACCCTATTACTGATTTCAGTAAAACAGAAATTTTTGGATTTCAAATGCTGACTTCCAAAGGAATGAACAGAGATACCAAGGAACAAATATTCAGCAGAATGAAGTGTGAAGCCTTGGTAGGTTAGAATTAGGTTCTGTCTACCAGTTTAACTAAAAAGTCTGGGGAAAAAAACCCCCAAACCTAACAAAAACACCTCAGCAAATCCTTCAGGATTTGGCCCAGTGTGTATATAAAATATTTCTCTGAAGACAGTAAGACAAAAAATTACCCAGTTAATGTGTTGAAGAACACAAACATTTCTTTTAGTTGCCTATTTTTCCTGTAGCAGTGCCTCAGTTATGGTGCTTCTACTTTTTTTCTAAAAATTGTTTTGCAAGATGAAATAGTAAAACTCCAATTTATTTTGTTTTCCTCTTTCTGGTGTGGATCTTCCCTGTGTTAAATTCACTATATATTTGATGATTCCTGGCTAAAGGAACTCCCTTAGGAGAGGCCTTCCGTGATTTTTAGCTGTAGCAAGTTTTTCTGTACCATAAAATAAAGGCAGCAGATACAGAACTCTTAAATAAGAAGTTGCATAAAGATGTAAAGGTCATCCTTGTGAATTGGGAATTATGCTTGGATCTACTTAAGGTTCTGTTTATAACCTTAAATGGCTGTAAACTGGGCAATCCATTGTGTAGGAGGGTAAAGAAACAGAGCAATAAAAACTCTCAATAGGCTTTGCTGGCCCATGAAGGACGTGCCAGCATTGCTTCCAACCTTTGTTGGACAGTTGTTCTTCCTAGAAAACTAAACCCCACGGCCTGGAAGGGAATATTCCCTGTGTCCTCCTGTGTCCCTGTGAGCTGGAGGTGGCAGAGATTCCCTGTTCAGGCTCCCAGAGCTCCTCTGGGATCGTGTCTGAGCTGTCAAACACAGTGGCCCACGATGTGCACACAAACTACTCCCACCAATGCTGCTTCTGCACCAGAGGTTATTCCTGACAATTATTTCTGACAAATAACTTTATTCTTTTATTGTAAGTTTGCATTGTTTGTAGAGGGAAAGCCTGAAGAAAAGTTAATTGAATGTATCTCAGTTTGAAAAATGTGAACATGTTTCTTCAAGTACTGTGAAGCATCTTGGAATAGTCATGCTCAGTTGCATCATTTTTATCTGGCTAGTGTAGCTTGCCAAATATATATAGACTTTCTCCACTACTATATTTAATTTTCCTATTTACTGTATTACATTAGAGTTACTATTAAATTATCAATAGAGCCATCATATGCTGCTTAAAACAGAGCTGCTATTTGCATTTAGCTGTTAGTGCTGCAAAACCAGCTTTTATGATCACAATTAGGACACAAGCTGCACAACAGGAAGAGTTTTTAAAAAAAAAAATCCCAGAAACTTTGGAGGCAGAGAGGTACCATATGAACTGTCCCTTTCAATTGCAATCATTAAGCTTTCCCAGGTTATTTCTCTCTTGGCCAACCTGTTAACCAAGGTTAAAGCCTTTCAGCTCCACAATGTTCCTTGAAGGTGAGGTGACCTGTGCTTCTGAAACGTTGGACCTCAGAATCAGGTGAGAAAGGAGTGAGAGAACAGTTGTGACAACAGTTCTTAGCACAGAAAGAGCTTCAGTTACAGATACAACCCCTCCTCTTCTGCCCAGCCCTCCCTGTTTTTTCTCACTGTCAGATTTTTGCATTTTTAGAGGTGACTTTGAGGGCTTGTGTTCATTTAAAAGATGACAAGTTGCTTTTGTCGTAGTGGTTTTTTTTTTTTGGAGAAGGTCAAAACAGGAGCAGAGATAAGGACTCTGATTACTTTTTACCACACTGGTAAAAAGCAAATATCCTGGCCTCCCCTTCAGCACAGATTATGCAAATGGCTTAAATTTGGATGATGGA